GGGTGCTGCGGCCGCTGTGGCGCTTCCTCGGCCCCCTCTGCCTCGAGCGCTTTCCTTTTGAGCGCGGCCTGCAGCCAGCGCCTCTGGAACAAGGCCTCGCCGCCGTTGGAAGGTGGCCTCCCGCTCCAGGAGCGCGCCGTGCTGCTCTGCCAGCGCAGCTTCGAAGCCTGCCGCTGCATGCTGCCTAGCCGCCCGCCTGTGGCGTCGGCGCGTGATCCTGCGCGCGTAGGCTGGTCCGCGCGGCGCCCTGCCTCTCTCGTCTGCGCCCTGCTGCGTCTCCTGCTGGCGTGGCGGCTCTGCTGCCGCATTCTTCTCCTCGTCCTCCTGCCTCTCCTCTTCGTCCTCTGCTTCCATGGTGCTCCTCTGTCTTCTCGCTGTCGGCGGTCTCTGTGCTGCCTGCCGCCGGAGCCTCTGTTGGAGCTGCTGCCAGCGTCGTTTCTCCTGGCCCCCTCGAGCCCTCCTCCTGGGCCTGCGCTGCACGCGCGTCCAGAGGCCTGGGGGCGGCCCTGGGTCCCCGGGGGGCTGGCGCCTGCAGCTTGCCAAGGCCTGCCTGCCTGCCTCTGCCACCTCTGCTACCCCTCGGCCGCGTCTGCGCCGTCTCGTAGCCCTCCTCGGCCTCCGCGTCCTCGTCCTCGCGCCCACCCTCCTCTGCCTCCTCAGGCGTTCCGGCGCGCCTCCCTCGTCCTTCCCCCTCAGCCTCCTCAGCCTCCTCAGCCTCCTCAGTTCTTTTCTCTTCGCCCTCTTCTGCCTCCTCTTCCTGGCGCCCAGGTTCCTCTGCCTCCTTGGGCGTTCTCGCTCGCCTATTTCACCCTCCTCTGCGTCCTCAGGTGCCCTCTGTCTCCTCCTGCGCCGCCTTCCTGTGTGCGTGTTGCTCGTCTGCCTCCGGCGCCCTGGCTCCTGTTGCGCTGCTTCCTCGTTTTCCTTTTCCTCGTCCTCGGCGCCTGCCGTGGCGTTGCTGGCTCTGCTTGCGCTTTGCCTCCCCTCGTGCTGCACTGCCGCTGCTTCCCCAGTGCGGCCGTGCAGCAAGTCGGCTTGCAAGTGCCTGCCAGCGTGCCCAGGCGAGGGCGCCATCGCGCACTAGCCCCCGACGCGCGCGCTCGCGGGCCCCCGTGCGCGAGCCCTCGAGCCCTCGAGCCCTTGAGCGGAGTAGGGGCCCCTTTCTGGGTTGTCAAGTAGGCTCCCTCCTCTGGGCTGCATGCCCCCCCCCTTGGGTTGTCATGTGGGCGCCCCCCCGCCGGGTTGTTAAGTAATTCGGCCCCCCCGTCTAGATTATCAAGGAAGCGCCCCCCTTGGGTTGTCAAGTAGGTGCCCCCGCTGGGCTGTCATGTGGCACCCCCGTCTGGGTTGTCAAGTAGGCGCTCCCCTTGTTGGTCTGTCAAGTGTGCGCCCCCCCTGGGTTGTCATGGAAGCGCCCCCCTCTGGGTTGTCAAGTAGGCGCGCTCCTTTGGGCTGTCAAATAGGCGCCCCGTCTGGGTTGTCAAGTGGGCGCCCCCTCTGGGTCGTCATGTAGGCGCCCCCCACTGGATTGTCATGTAGGCGCCCCCCTTATTGGTTGTCAGAAGAGGTAGGTGCCTCCCTCTTCGGTTGGTCAAGTAGGGCCCCCCCGCTGGGGCTATCAAGTAGGCGTCCTTTCTGGGTTGTCAAGTGGGTGCCAGTGGGCACCCCCTCAAGGCCCTCAAGTAGGTGCCTCCCTCTGGGTCGTCAGATCTGCGCTCCCTTTGGGCTGTCAAGCGCGCGACTCCTCTGTAGACCTGGCTCAGCATCGGGCAAGTTTTCACCGCGACCAACTTCTGCCAGTAACTAGTGGCACAGGTCCTCATCCTTTCTATCCTCTGAGAGCCACGCATTCGTAATAGGCATATTCTCTTGTGGGTTACTAGACAGGGCCCCAATAACAGGCTGCGAGTTTGGACTTCCTCCCGTGACGGGTGTCCCCTGCTGTCAATTCCTGCTTGCATCCAGCGACTGTGCAGAAGTTGACCCGCTCGCCGTCCTGTCTGTGTTGTCAGTGATCCTCCTCCTCCTCCTCCTCCTTTTCTCCTCCTCCTCCTCCTCCTTCTCCTTCTCCTTCTCCTTCTCCTTCTCCTTCTCCTTCTCCTTCTCCTTCTCCTTCTCCTTCTCCCTCCTCTCCTCCTTCTCCTTCTCCTTCTCCTTCTCCTTCTCCTTCTCCTTCTCCTTCTCCTTCTCCTTCTCCTTCTCCTTCTCCTTCTCCTTCTCCTTCTCCTTCTCCTTCTCCTTCTCCTTCTCCTTCTCCTTCTCCTTCTCCTTCTCTTTCTCCTTCTCCTTCTCCTTCTCCTTCTCCTTCTCCTTCTCCTTCTCCTTCTCCTTCTCCTTCTCCTTCTCCTTCTCCTTCTCCTTCTCCTTCTCCTTCTCCTTCCTTCTCCTTCTCCTTCTCCTTCTCCTTCTCCTTCTCCTTCTCCTTCTCCTTCTCCTTCTCCTTCTCCTTCTCCTTCTCCTTCTCCTTCTCCTTCTCCTTCTCCTTCTCCTTCTCCTTCTCCTTCTCCTTCTCCTTCTCCTTCTCTTTCTCCTTCT